GGTGAAATCCTGTTTTTTGTCTGTGCTCCTGTACTCTGCTATCGTTTAGGGGAGTGGCCAGGCTGGGGCAGGACTTACACCCCCAAACCTGTGCTATGGTACCACTGTGCTCTGGGCAGGAGTCAAGTACCTTGGTCCTGGCTGCAGAGTCACCTTCAAGGCTGTCCCAGGGCGGGCAGTGGCTCTGTGGCCCAAAAGCCAGAGGATGTGGTGTGCTTTAGGAATAGGCGGTGGTCCCCATACACGTCCGGGGCTGGCCGAATGGTACTCTCCAGAGGCCGCTCTTGCCATCTGAGCATTGGGGTTGCTCCTGTGATTGCTTATGAGTATGGTGTCTTAGCGACCTTCCCCGTCTCTGACACAATCCCTGACACCCACAGCCAAAGGGAGGGTTTGTTTTGGCCCAGTTTGAAAAGTTAGAGTATCTGGAGGCTGAAATACAAAATGGTGCAGCAGAGGGGCCTGGCAGAGGAGAGCTGCTCTGGCCTAGTAGTCAGGAACAGAGAGAGGAGGGCTGGGGAGGGGATCCGCCCTCCAGGCCACGCCCTCTCACAGGGCACTTGTCACCCTGGCATTCAAGTGTGTGTGGATGTTCTAGATGCAAACTGAAACAGGTGGTCAGGACTGTGTGGTTCTGGGGACCCTTGGCACCTGCAAGTGTGCATTGCCCAGGTAGAGCTGACCCTGTCCCTGGGCCTGCAGCCTTCATGCACACACCATGTCTGGGCTGCAGGACTTCCAGGCCCTCTCCAGCTCCAGAGCCACCAGGATCCTCCACCTGCACCCCGTCCTAGTGAGGGATTGTCTGTGCAAGTGCTCTGTTAGAAAATGCAGGTGCTGGAGGTTCTGCTTGGGTCCAACAGCGTGGCTGTCCTTGTGCCCCTGGAAGGCTGCCACCCCTTGGCTGCTGGCAGGCCATAGGCCTGGTGGATGGAGACACTGTTTGGGTGTGGCTGCTCCATGATGCTGTCTGCTTCTTACTGGGGCTTGACAGCACGCCTGGCCAGATGAGTACTGGCTCCCTCAGGACGGGGACTGTTTTGTACCCTCTTTTAGAACAACCCTTGCCCCTGTCTCACTTAAGGATGGCATGGGCCCTGACTGTCCCCCTGGGCTGTGGAGCAGCCTACGTTGAGGGGACACACCTGTCTGGGCTTTGTGACCCTTCAAGGGAAACCCTGACTGTGACGTCAGGCCTGTGGAACTTGGGGGCCGGACCGCCTGGTAGAGGGCACAGGTGAGGTGCAGGTGCTTGGAGATAGGCTGGCATTGAGCTGGTAGGCACTGTATGGACTGTGCTATGCGCGGAGCCCTTTTCCTGACTCCTGGCCCTGGCCCTGCTTGGGGCGATGCTCCAGCACACACCCATGGGCATATTTGCCTCTCACTGCCTCCTGGGCCCTCAATCTTGGCTCAAGGCCCTTGGCCTAGAAGCCGTGGCCCAAGGCCCGTGTGTCAGGGTTCTGCTGGACCTCACAGCTGGAACCGTATGACCTTGTGTCCAGATCTCCCCCTTCCCGTCTGTGCATCCTCCAAGCTGCAGAGGTAGCACCTGAGAAGCTGAGCCTGTCATCTTCCAGCCCTTTCCCAATGGGGAGGCAGCTGATTGAAGCCTGCGTGGTGGCTTCACCTCGTGGTCAACCCTCCTCACCTGTCCCCACACATCCTCAGGCTGGGTCATTCTCCAGACTCAGGGACCGTGATTTCTGCAGCTCGAGGGCCATCAAGGTGCTACTGCTGTCCCTGACCGCATTGAGACCACGATGTTCAGGCAGCCTGGCGTGGCTCTGTCACCTTCAGTTCCAGGTGTCACCAGGTGCAGCTGCTGGGGCTGGCCCTGCGGGAAAGCTCACAGAATTGACTGGCTCTGCCCTGGGTGGGTTCACCTCAGGCCACACACATGGCTGTTTTGTTCTGATTGGGGTGTGGTGAGGGCCCAGCCCAGCCCTCTGCTCTGTGTCCAGGGGTTCAAGGCCATGACCCCCTGTATCATTTCCACAGCGAGAGGGAAAGGACTTTAGTCCTGCCTGAGCTGAGTAGTAGCCACCAGGGTAGATCAGGACATGCTTGAGTGCAAGGCCAAGGTACAACCAGAGTGACTGTCCCCTGCCTGGCCCCACTGCTGTGTCCTCCGTGCCATCTCAGGGGCCTGTGACAGAGCTGGGTGCCATGGCCACGAGAGGCTTCTGGGCCCAGCCTGCTGCATTGGGGTCACTAGGTACCAGAGGTCTGTCGCCCAGGCCCTGCACCTTCAGGCAGAGGCCACCTGCAACCTACTGCAAGGTGCTCTTAGGCTCCAGCGGTTCTCCTGCCTCTGCAGCAGCACTGCCAGGTGGAGAGGTAGAGCCCCCGTGTTTGCAGGTGGTGGTCTCACTATAGTTTGCTCTTTGGGGGCTGGAAAGGAAATGGGTCTGTGCCTTGATTGAGAGGCTGGCCAGAGTTCAGCCTGGCCCTCTACACGTATCAGTCAGGAAGGGCCTTTGGTGTCTTCCTGGTAGCTGTGGCTCTCTTGTGTCTTGCACACCCATGGCTCCAGGGCCTCACTCTGCTCCCCAGGTGTCAGAGTTCAGCCTGGCCCTCTACACGCATCAGTCAGGAAGGACCTTTGGTGTCTTCCTGGTGGCTGTGGCTCTCTTGTGTCTTGCACACCCATGGCTCCAGGGCCTCACTCTGCTCCCCAGGTGTCTCACTCCTTCCTCACTGTCCTTAGCTGTGGCCTGGCTGTGCCGCAGTCCTGTCTTGTGCAGTCTAGCCCTCCCCATAGCTAAGGGCACTGCATGGCCTCACCAGGCCCAGTTGCTGGTCTGGCCCTAGAGGCAGGGTTCCTGTCCTAACCCCTGTCTCCGCAGCAGGGCCTGGCCCTGGGTGGAGCAGTCCGGAGACTCTTGTTTCCTCGTGATAGTCCCGGCCATGGCTGGGATGGGCATGCTCTGGCACCCTGTGTGCCCAGGTTCTGCAGGGCATAGAGCTAGTCTTCTGTGCAGTTGGGCCAGCCTGCCCATCAGCATCAGTGCTACCCCTATTCTCTGAGCACTGACCAAGCTGCAATTTAGCATTGGTAGAAAAGCAAGGATGAGTTGGGAGCCATCTACTTTGGGTTCACCACTGCTGATGGAACCCTGTGCCGGCTGGATATGGGCATACTGCCCCACTGTGCATCTCTCTGGGGGTTTCTTTGAAGCCTGGCCCCTGAGGCTCGGGCTGGCTCTATCTGGCCAGGAGGGTGTAGACAGGGAGGCCCCTGGTCCTAACCTGACCGGAGACAGGGCCTCTGCGTGGAGGGGCCCACGCTGTGGCCGTGGAGATGTCTGTGCTGAGCAGGTGGCCTCCTGAGGTTCCCAGGGCAGACGGGCCAAGCTCCGCCAATGGCCCTGGTTCTGCTGTACAGGCCGAGTCCTGATTGCTCAGCTGTCTTGCATGTCTCTTTGCTCTGCCATGGACCCCAAAGCCCCCGCAGAGCTGCCTTGGCCTTTTGGGTAGCAGCTTTTTGTTCCCGCAGGAGCCAGACCAGCCTTGCTTTCAGAGGTATCAGCTCACTTGCCTTCCCCTGCCTCTTGGAAGAGTGGTCGGGGGTCTCCATGGCCAGACTGGGCACCGATGTGGGGTGGGCACTGCCCTGGTTTAGCAGAGCAGGTGGAGCTGGGCCTTCCTTGTTCCCTGTGATGTTCAGTGGACACTCAGGAGGGGGAGGTGGCTGTGGGGCCAACTGGGGCCCAGCCCTGCCACATGCAGTGTGACCCTGGCTGCAGGGCTCAAGGTGCCTGGGCACAGGGCCCCTGAAGGGCTGTGCGGCCCTTGGGCCCGTCACATAAGCCTGTCTAGTGGCCCAACAGCTTCTTTCCCCCTCGTGGGCTGTGGGCTGTGGACTGTGGGCTGGCTTCGGGCCCTGGGAAGTGGAGTGGGGGGGTGCCTCACGAAGAGGGGCGCAGTGGTTGGCTGCCGGTTACAGTTCTGCCCCTGGGCCATCTGATGCTGGGACCCTCAGTGGCTGGAGCCTGCAGCAGGATATCCCTTCCTTGGCGTGTACACCTACAGGTGTCTCTTCTTGGGCCCCCGGCAGACATACTTCTTCCCTGATGGGCAGATCCCCCTTGCGCTCAAATGACTGCCTCTGCCCTGCAAGGTGCTGTCTGCCATGAGGCCTTGCTTTTTCCTGAGACTTGGGTGCCCAGAGGACCCATGTCAGGATGGGACCCATGCTGACTGGAGGGCTTTGACTCCATCCCAGCCCCGTCTTCCCTGTCTGCCTGGAAGGCACCCTGCACCCTCGTGGCTCAGTGGAGGTGCCTGACATTCCCCCGGAAGTCCCTGAGGTTTTGCAAGGTGGAGTTAGACGGCGTCTGCTGGGTCTGTGGCTTTCCTCTTCCCTCTGGCGGGGTCTAGCTCGCTCTGTACCTGGAAGACAGGAAGCCCCACCCTAGTGGTGCAGCCCTGCCTGAGCCCAGGGAGGGTCTTGCAGTTCCAGAAGGCTGCTCTTTCATCCTGCCTGTGCTGTGGCCTCCGTGGGCAGGGCCTCTGTGGGATTACCCTGAAATGCCTCAGGGTAGCTGGATAGCTGCATCCAGCTCTGTCTCTGGCTCCCCTGACCCAGGCCCAGTGTGCCAGTGTGCCTGTGTAGAGGGGGGTGTCCTGCTGGGCCTGCACACAGCCTGTCTGCACTGGGCTGGCCCTCTGTCTGCCGAGTTTCCTTCTGAAAGTGCTGTTAGGGGCACCTTGACCACCCACCTCCCCGCCACCCCAACCCTGGAAAGTGGGGATCCCTGCCCATCATGAGGCCAGTTCTGTGGTCTTCCTTTCTGGAGAGCCTCCACCCTGTTTACTCTCCGTGGCTGGAGGAGAGAGTCCCATGGGTGCCCTGGGGCCACCCTCCTGTCCTGTGCTCCAGGGAGACGAATAGCTGTCTGACTTTGAACTTTGGGGTTGGGGTCTGTTTTTTCTGTGGGGAGGATGGATCTCAGGGTGCAGGTTCAGACCACACTCTGTCATCTGCGGCTCTGCAGGGATATGCTGGTGCCCGGGGCAAGCTAGGGGCCAGGGAGAGCTTCTCCAAGCTTCCTGATGGAAGGGACATCTGCAGCCTGATCTGTTTGGTGCTCCAGGTACCTTTGTGTTGTGAAAGGCCACTTTCCTGAGGTGCTGATGGCCACTCTGCTCTCCCCTTGGCATGGGCACAGATGTGCACATCTCACGTGTGGGTCCTGTAGCCCCTGCTGGCTGGTTCGGCCCCAGCTGCTAGTATGGGGGAAATCTCATGCCCCTCGGATTTGGGAAGGTGGCGAGGACAGTCAAGGACAGGGGACGAGTGGGACAGGTGGAGCCACTGCGCCAGGCACACCCACCCCCCAGGCTTGCTACAGCTGCGGGTGAGGTCACTTTGGAGCAGCCGGCAGCGGCACAACAGCGTCCTCTGTCCTCATGGTGCATCCCCTTCCTGGCAGCACCAGGCCCACTTTCCTGCTCGTTGCTGGCAGCTTGGGCCTCCAGAGCACAGTGGGCAGGGCTGTGTTCCCTCAGGGCCACCTCAGTCGGGCTGGTTGGTGGGGAGACCCTGCCCTGGCCCACAGGTACCAGCAGGGCCTTTTGTGTTGGTCACAGGTCTCTTCTGAACCCCCGGCCTCCATAAGACCCAAAATAGATGATGCCTCCTCCCAGTCCCCTGCGTCTTCTGAGAAGGACAAGCAGTCCAGCTGGCTGCGGACCTTGGCCAGCTCCTCCAACAAGGTGCCACATGGGGCCTGCCTCGGTCCAGGAGAGGTGGGCGCAGGGGCCTTCTGCTCAGGGCTGGGCACCCAGCCAGCCCTGGGGCCTGATGCGACTTTTTTCACAGAGCCTGGGCTGCGTTCACCCTCGCCAGCGCCTCTCTGCTTTCCGACCCTGGTCCCCTGCAGTTTCGTCCAGTGAGAAAGAGATCTCCCCGCACCTCCCAGCCCTGATTAGAGACAGGTGAGTGGCACTTCGGTAGTAGGGCAACCAGGCTTGTTACATCTTGGCAAGGTGTTTTCCTGGCCCTGTTCGCTTGGCACCAGGGTGAACCATCTAGAGCTTTCTGAGACCTTGGGTGCAGCTGTGTAATTCACAGAACCCATCTATGAGCATGGCCTCGTGGCATCCGAGGGTCCATCCGGAGTGCATGGCTATGGGAAACCTGTGCGGTTCTCAGCCCCTGGAAGCTCGCATTAAGTGACTGGGTTGGAGAAGAACACATCACCTTATAACACAGCTAGGGAGTCTTAGCCAGGAATGTCCTTGGCAGGTGGGCTGAAGGTGGGGTCCAGGGACAGGGAAACCCCAGCCCAACACCTGTCCCCCACCCTGCAGCTTTTACTCCTACAAGAGCTTCGAGACAGCAGGGGCTCCCAACGTGGCCCTTGCCCCACCAGCCCAGCAGAAGGTCGTGAACAGCCCGCCATGCAACACCGTGGTCTCCCGGGCCCCCGAGCCTCTCCCCACTTGTATCCAGCCCCGGAAGCGGAAGCTGATTGCAGATACCCCGGGAGCCCCAGAGACACTGGTGCCGGCTGCTGCTGCAGAGGAGGACAAGGACTCGGAGGCAGAGGTGGAAGTGGAGAGCAGAGAGGAGTGTGAGTGACTTGGTCTGCTTCTCCACCCTCTAGGTTGTGGGGGCATGGGGCTCTGCAGGGAGGCCCTTTCCCACCTACAGCTGACCACTCCACTCTGTCCCCAGTCACTTCCTCCTTGTCCTCGCTGTCCTCGCCATCCTTCACCTCATCCAGCTCCGCCAAGGATCTGAGCTCCCCGGGCATGCATGCCCCTCCCGTAGCTGCCCTGGACGCTGCAGCCCACACTGATGCCCCCAGTGGGCTGGAGGCAGAGCTGGAGCACCTGCGGCAGGCCCTAGAGGGTGGCCTGGACACCAAGGAAGCCAAAGAGAAGTTCCTGCATGAAGTGGTCAAGATGCGTGTGAAACAAGAGGAGAAGCTGAATGCTGCATTGCAGGCCAAGCGCAGCCTCCACCAGGTGAGGCCCCAGCCACAGCTCCTCTGGTGTGGCCCCTGCTGTGCATGGGGCCCACCGTGGGCGGACAAGTCTGTCTCCTGCTCCACAGTGAGGCTGCTCTGGGCCTGGGTGCAGCGCATCCTAACGCTGTCTCTGAGGGGGTTGGGTAAGGCCAGTGAGGGAGCAGCAGGGCCTCCCCGGGCTCTGCTCACTACTGGCCGCGCTGTGGGCTGCGGGTTGCCTGCCTGGAGGTGAATTCACACCTCAGCGGAGTCAGGCAGCTCTGGGGTGGCCCCACGCTCGGAGTCTGACAGCTCTGGGGCAGCCCCACACTCGTGGGTGGTAGCACAACACAACCCTGTTGGTCCCAGGCTGCAGGATCTCATGCTTCCCTCTGGTGCGCTCTGGGCGGAGCTGCGATTTCCCACTTGTCTGGGGTGTCTGCTGGGTGAGGTCTGAGGCACATTGCCACCGTTGGTGGCGAGGCACTGGAATGGATGCATTCTGCCTACAGTGGCCGCCCTGGCAGACGTGATATCTGCATGGGGAAGGTGCACTGGGCTCCCTGGGTTCCAGGCAGCTGCATGGCAGTGGGACAGGGCCACTGGGAGTGGTGGCCCAGGGCAGCTTGCAGTGACCACCTGCTGCTGTCCCACCAGGAGCTGGAGTTCCTGCGTGTGGCCAAGAAGGAGAAACTTCGGGAAGCCACAGAGGCCAAGCGCAGCTTGCGGAAAGAGATCGAGCGCCTCCGTGCTGAGAATGAGAAGAAGATGAAAGAGGCCAACGAGTCACGGGTGCGCCTGAAACGGGAGCTGGAGCAGGCGCGGCAGGTCCGGGTGTGCGACAAAGGCTGCGAGGCTGGCCGTCTGCGTGCCAAGTACTCGGCCCAGGTACTTACTGGCGGGTGTTCTGGGGGTCCAGGCTGAGCCGGGAGACTGAAGCATGCTGGGTGCGGCTGGTGCTATTGCCTGAGGTCCTTGGCCCACCAGCTCTGCACTCCCTGGGCTGCAGGTGGCCAGGCCACACTGGAAGGAGCAGTGGGGACGTCCTCCCAGGACCCAGAGCACCCTGGGTTCCCCCAGCCACAGCCTCCCTCCTGCCGCTTTGTGTGAGGAATGAGCTCGGACCCAGAGCCAGGCATGGAGGGTGGGGTGGCTGGAGCCTGTACAGGGATGGTTCTTGGTCACACGACCAGCCCGGGTCAGGGGCACAGGAGCCTCCCTGGCCTCTGCTGGGCAGGCTGGACACCTGGCCCGCCTGGTGCCACCTGCACAGCTCTCCTGGGGCCTGCTTCTCCTGGAGCCTGGAGAGGGGGCACCTGACCCTCAGCACCCTCCTTGCAGATCGAGGACCTGCAGGCAAAGCTGCAGCATGCCGAGGCCGACCGAGAGCAGCTGCGGGCCGACCTGCTGCGGGAACGCGAGGCGCGTGAGCACCTGGAGAAGGTGGTGAAGGGGCTGCAGGAGCAGCTGTGGCCACGGCCGCGCCCCGAGAATGGAGGCGGCGGGGAGGGCACCTCTGAGATCGGCAGCACCACATTGGGCACAGTGGGCCGCAGGCAGGGCCACGGGGCTCTGTGGCCACACAGCACAACGTCTCTACTGTGCCTATTACCAAGCGAGTGTTTGTAACCCCACACTTTTGGAATCCACTGCAAAATTTTCTACTGGCCAAGTTCAGGTGGGCGAGCCGCATCCCGGGCTGCGGCAGAGTCCTGGCCAGCCTGGCAGCCTACGTCTGGCCCTCTGCTTGCTGGAATGTTCTAACATTTACACTTTTGTTATAAGCTATTTAAAACCAACTAGGAGACTTGATACTCAGAAAACAACACATTTTTTATGACTAACTTAAAACCCTGACACGTAACGCCATCTGGAGACCGCTGTGGTGGGGTGGCACCGCCCTCCCCACCCCGGAAGCCATCATGCTCATCTGTGCCCGCGGCTGCAAGAGGACAGCAAGGGTTTTTCTTCAGAGTCTATTTTTTCAGCGACAAGGACCTGGCTCTTCCCGATGCTGCGAGGAAGAGCAGGGAGAGTGCCGCGTGCGAGATGAGCCCAGCACTGCCGCCTTACCGCTGCTGCCCCGTGTCCGTGCTGCTGCCCTGCAGGCCCTGGGCAGGCAGGGCGCCCCCTGTGACCCGTGTGTGTGCCGGCCGGGGCAGCTCGCCCCTGAACACACTGCTGCTGCTCAGGCTGCAAGCATCATGCCCTTGTTTCTGAGCAGGGCTACAGCATCGGAACAAAACACAGCATTACTCTTACTTTTTTGTTTGTTTGTTCAGTTAAACATATATTTAGAACTGCACTTTGTCAAAAATCTTCCCTTCTCTTTTTAAAACTCCCCATTAACTGAGGTTTTTACAGATTTCTAGAGCAGTTCAAACCCTATGTGCTCGAGTGCTTAGAATCCCCTCTGGTGCTTGGTTGAACAAGGGAATCACAAAGAAACGAAACGCAGAAACTGAACTTGGGGCTTGTTCTGTGCCTTCCAGCATCTTGTACAGCAAACCCTGACTCAACGTCTTTTTACCCCCAAATAATATTGTCTTCAGTAGCAATTGAATCTGCCACTGTCAAAATAAGTTACTTGCATTTATTCCAAGTAATCTCGTTTACTCTCAACTGTTTATGCAAATTGTATAAGGTTTCTTATGCCCAAGCTTGAGAAATTACTTACCAGTAGACAAGAGGCGGCCACCGGTCCTGAAACCGTGGTGTCACGTCACGTAGGCACGCACAGGAGCTCGGCCGGGGCAGCGAGTGCTGAGGGAGGTGGAGCTGGCTTGTGCAGGTACGGACAACCTCGAGATTGTCAGCCGCCGTCAGCACCTAGCAGAGACCAGAGACTGCTGAACCCTGACGTTTGTTCGGGTGACAGAATCGTCTGCAGGGTTTTGCCCTTGGTTTACTGAGGGGGGCTCCATTGCTGCCGGGACCCCCCTTCCTGAAGTGCAATGCAAAGGGACATCATGTGTATGCGGCATTTATTTGGAGTTTTCTTTCTTTTTTTCTTTTGCAGTTATGAAGCTGTATGCATGGGATTTCACACCTCTGCCATCGCAGACCCACCCATGGGCATTATTACCGTGTCTTGTAAAGGGTCAGTTTTGTTACGCAACACGCAGAGTGCTGTTCTCAGCCTTGTTTTTCCAGTCATTGTGTGTTTTCAGTCATTTCTTCAAGGGAAACTAAACGATTTAGTTTGAGCAAAGCTTTAAGTGTGTTGGCGTGCTTCTGTGTGACGTCCCTGTTGCCAGGCCTGCAGGTGGCAACGTGCCGGGCCCCGCTGTGGGATTAGCTCCAGAGGAATGCGCTTCGTGCTGCCATCAGGCAGAGCTGCTCCTCGCCCTGCCCCGTGACTGTGGCACCTCGGTGTCCTCACCTGGTGCTGTCCCTGATGGTGGGAAGCATTGTGTCAGCCCTGGGACAGCCCCGCTGTCCTATGAGCTGGTCGCTTTGGGCTCGCACCTCTGGGATGGGCAGGCACCTCTCCGGCAGCTGGGCACTGGGCCTCCGGACAGCTCTGCTGCTCCCACCTCACCGCTGGTCCCAGCTGGTGGGGGGCAGGGGGACTGGCAGAACACTGGGTTGTCCCGGCCACTCCGTTGTAGGGCCACCGTGCCTGGCTCCACTGGCGAGGTGGGCTCAGAGTTCTGTCTCTCGCAAGAGGAAGGGAAGAGGTTGCCTCCCTGTGTGTAAACTCCATTATCAGTGCTTGTGTCTTCAGCTTAGTACTCATTATTTCTATACTGAAAGAAGATTTTAACGAAGGGAAAAAACAACAGCAATAACATTCATATCTGTGGAGCAGCTAACTCGTACACGACTCCTGCTTTCCGTACAGAACTAGCCAATGTAAAAACAACTAACATGTAAATACTTTCTTTCATTTTACACCGTTGTATTATACCTGTATATGGTGGCTCCTTTTTCAGAAACTTCTTACTTGGTAGTTGTCTTGTTTTCTGGGTTTTTAACTGAGGAAGAAAAATGCTTATCTGCCAGCGGAGACGGAGTGGCTGGGTCTGGTCCTGTGGTGTTGCCCCTGCCTCCTCACCCTCTGCGCCCCCTCCTTGCCTTCCTGCCACACCCTGGGCCAAGCGAAGGGCACTTCTTTGTGCTGTAAGTCAGGAGTTTCAAGTGACATTTTTTCAGTTAAGGAAAAAACCCATTTCCAACCGTGACATGCTCCAGAGCCCCTGCCCCTCCGTATCCTCCGCTGCTGCTAATGACAATACGATGGCTTACTCTGCTACTCGAGAGCTATTTTTATGTAATTAATGTATGCTTTCTTGTTTATAAATGCCTGATTTTAAAAAGGAAAAAAAAAAGCTTGGCATATTTATCTATTTCGCTGTGTACCTGTCAGTCCTCCCGCCCCCTTGGAACATCCAATGTTGTACAATAAAGGTTTGGAGAGCACACAGGCAGCTGTGCTTGTGCCCCCTGCAGACCCTGGCTGAGGTCCTGGCATGGGTGAGGAAGGCCCCAGGCACATCCACCCTGGGGCCTGGGGATAGCAAGGGTACAGCTCTCCTGAGGCAGCCACCCATGTCACTGGGGAGGAGAATGCAGCCCCCTAGTTCCAGTGTTCCTCGGGCTGTGTTGCACAAGGCTGGGCTATTAGTGACCATGGGATGGGGAGCCCACAGATGGGTCCCCTGGGTACCAATGCCACCTTTTGGCCTCCCAGGCCTGGCCTAGCCTCTGGTGAGAGAGCATCTGATGGCATTGAAGAAGTGGGCCCATACCACAGCAGGACCCTTGCTCTCCCATCCCTGGGCCCCAAACCTGGGGCCAGAGGAGTACCCTCTCTCCAGCACCCCTTGGGAGTTGCTCCTGCCCTATCCACAGCTCAGTTGCCCTGCCCAGGCCCTGTATTGGGGACAGCATCAGGTCCTGGCACCCCAGTCTGGAGGTGGGCTGAGGGGAGCCTTTTCCAGGGCCATCTCTATGGCCAGGGGGCCCATTTGAGCGTCCTCCCCAGCACACACCTGGGTGCCCTCCACATGTCACAGGCAGTGCCCACTACAAGGAGGACAGAGATGGAGAACGGACTGGGACAGGCAGCCCTCACTTCAGGAAGCCAGCCCAGGCCAGACCGGTCCACAGCAGTTGCAGGAAGGGCGGTATGGGTGTCCTGCCTCCTGGGCGTTGGAACTGGGCATGCGGGGGCCTGAGGCCGTGGTTGCTGTCACCAGGTTCCCTGGTCTTCACCTGAAGGCTGAGCTCAGTCAAAACCTGACCCAGGTGCATGTCAGAACCTCTTATCCAAAGTGGCGCAGAGGGTGCAGGTGGAGCCACCATCCTTCGTGACGGAGAGCAGAGCGGGGAAGAAATGACCCCTCTGGGTACCTGCTCAGGACTCCTCTGACCACAGCGGAGGCCTCAATGGGCCCCAGGTGCTCTCTGCGTCCTGCTTCCCAGCTGCTGCCTTCCCAAGGCCCTGGGACCTAAGGCAAAGCTGATCCCAGGGTAGCAGTCAGGCCCTTTCCGTCTCTGCCTCAGGACCCCACTGTGTTCATCTCACTCCTGCACCCCCTGCCACCCCAGCTGTGCCTTTGAGTTTCTCCTCTGCTGCCCGCAGCCGGCCTCACCCCCACCCAAGCTGAGCGGCTGACCACAGCCACAGAGTGGTGCTTATCTGTGGGCGGTGCCAGGTGCCCTCTGGAAAGCAGAAGCCACTGCCCAGTTACTGTAACAGCTGGCTGGCACGCCCTTCCCCTGCCAGGGCCTTGGGGCGGGTGCTACAGTGACAGCTTGTGTCCTTGTGTCCCCACAGTCAACCCAGTCGGGGCCACCAACCTCCCTGTTTCCCGGGGCTGCCCGGAGGAAGCTCTAGCTGGGTGCTACCTCCAGTGAGGACTGCGCTGCCCAGGCCTGGCCAGCACCTGCTGTGACCCTCATCCCTGCACTTCCCAGGGCCAAGGCTCACTGCACTTAGGATGCATCCCCTGCCAGAAGAGGGCTGATAAGCCCAAGGAGAGGAGGGGAGTAGCCCAGAATTGCTGCCCTGTGAGGATGTGAAACCAGGGTGTGAGTGGCTCCCCACGGACAGATGACACCACCCACTGTGACCAAAACCTGTTGTCTGCCAGGCTGCCTGCAGGGGATGGGGACAGGACATTCAGGGACTGGATGTCTGCCTGCTCCTGCCACCCCATGGTCTCAGTGACGTACGTGGCCATCTGTGACCGGGCCTGCACCAGGTGGGCGGAGGCCTGGGCACAGGCGCCCAGGCCCAGAGCAGGTGGCCGCTGTGGGAGCCGACAGGCAGGGGAGCCAGCCGGCCTGGCTGGTCTCTGTGTCCTTGGGCCAGGTGTCCAGCCAGCCAGGAGGGAGCTCCCTGCCCTGTAGCTGGGTCTGGCAGGGAGATGGGCCCTATCACTCTTCTACGCCAAGGCCAGTTCAGGGCCAGGCACTCAAGGGAAGGAGGGGCTCAGGGCAAGGGACCGCACTAGGTGAGGCCCACATGACCCTTCCTGGAGTCTTGCCTGGTGCTGGGTGGACATTTGCCCCACCATAGCCACCCAGGGCCCCTTGCATACATGGTGGGAAGTGGGAGCTCAGCCCTGGCTCAGGAGGGCTGTTAGGTGTCCTGGTCCCCAGTTCTCCATGGGGTTTGTGCTGCCTCCTCCAGGCTAGCCACTACCCTTCCTGTCACCTGTGTGTCATCCAGCCCTGGGAACCAGAGGGTCTGTGCAGCCCTGGTCAGTTGGCAGGCCGTACTGTCTGCACTCATTCCTTTCACCCAACCCCAGCCTCTTCCCAAGGTCCAGACCTTCTGGCCCCTCTGGCAAATTGAGCCCTGGCCAGGCAGCCCCAGAAAAGCTCCTCTGAGGAGGCTGTCCAGGGACCACTCCAGGACACTCAGGTCTCCTTGCCCACTATAGGCTTTCTAGGACCAGAGGAGGAGGTGCTGCCATTGGGTGGGGCTGGGTGCCCCAGTTCTCCACTCCTGTGGCCCCTTACTCCCAAGGGCCAGAAGGGAAGGAGGGGTCTAGGAATGGGCTGGGGCACGCATGCTGGGTACTTCATGCAGGACCGGGGAGGCCTGTGTGCTCTGTGCACAAGCTCCTGCATGTGCACTTTTGTGAGCTGGCAAATGTGTGCATGGCTGCACATGGGAGTGGGCAGAGAAACTGAGGCCCAGGGCAGGCCCTGGTGCCGAGTTCCACCCAAGCCTGCAGCTCCCTCTGACTGCTCTGTGCCCCCATGCCTAAGCCAGGCTCTGCTGCCCTGCCACCAGGCTTCTTCGGCTGGTCGTGGGCGTACTGCTGAGTCCCCCAGGGTGGCAGACAGGATGCAGCCTGGCTTTCCTGTGCCTGTGGGCCTGAGCAGACAACTGAGGGTCTGGCAGCTGAGGTACTACCCCATCATGTGCAGAGCCTGGTGTCACCCCAGCTTCAGTCTTGTGGGTTTCCTGGGGTGCTCCAGGGAAGACCCAGCAGACAGCATAAACCATTTCTCCTGCAGGGCGAGGAGAGGTCCACAGCCAGGGTGCAAAGGGCCCCTGCCCAAGGCCCTGGTCCCCCAGCACAGTGCTGATGGCTAGGAGTAGGGTCACTGTCCTGGGTGGTCGCCAGGGCCACCAGCATCCCAGGTGCGGCCCCTAAAATCCCAGCCTGGGGTTCTGAGCTGGGTTGGGCTGGGAGGGAGTTGGGGGTCTTTACTTGGGGTGCCCAGCAATGCACTGTCCTAGCCAGCCCAGGGCCACCCCATTCCAGCATGGGGAGACAGAGCTTTGAGCAGGGGTGGGTCCTGCCACTCCGCACTGCCCTGGACTTCGGTGAAGGCACAGGCCAGTCTGCCCATGCGCTGTAGGAAGTGCCCACTCGGAATGGGGGGTGTGATGGGTCAGTGTTCCTTGCACCCTCTGCAAGGTCCCTGCCGGCTCTACACAGCTGCCTCATGTTTATGCTAGAAAGGGTCAACTCTTGTGTTAGGGACCCCCATATGCCCCACCTCTGCAAGTGCAATGCACTGGGTCCTCACCTGCCCCACACAACCCCATCCAGGCCACAGAACCGGGGTAAGGGTTAGGTTGAGGGGGTTAGGGTTAAGGTTTGTGAGAGAGAGACAGAGACGGAGACAGGGACAGGGTCTCACTATGTAGCCTAGGTTGGCCTCAAACTTGCATGGAACTCTGCATCCTGAGTGCTAGGGTTATAGGCGTTGCCAAACCTGGCAGGTGTAGGGTTAGGGTTAGGAGCTTAGGGTGAGGAGTAGGGTTAGGGTTTGGGGGTCAGGGTTACCTTTAGGGGTAGGATTTGGTTTAGGGTTAAGGGAAGTGTCAGTGCTGGGGATGGGTGGTTAGGGTTAAGGGTAGGCTTCTCCCTCCAGCTCCATCTCTCCCTGAACATCAGGTCTGGCTGGGGCAGGAGCCTTAGATTCAACCACAGATCCTGAATTTGCAGCTTCTGACCCTTCTTGCAGCCCAGAGACGCCCCCCTCCTCCAGAGATCTCACCCTGTGGGGTCCCCTGCACAGAGGTTCCCTGCATCTACACCCTGGTCCTGGTGCTGCTCCTTCCCCTGGGAGGGACGGTGTGTGCTGGCATCACTGGGTGCTATCCCCCATCCCACAGCCTTGTCTCTGCCCAGGGCCCTGTGGGGCTAAATTCCCTTGTGGGCACGGCTGGGGTCCTCAGTCCTGAGCTGCCAAGGGCCAGGGTCATTTTGGGCCAGCTCCATGTCCCTAGGCAGTGGCGGCGGGGTTCTGGGAGCTGATCCTGGCCCTGGATACCTCTCTGTCCTCTGGGGCCTTCCAAGGGTCACAGCTAGATTCTGAACCCTCTCTGGACACCCAGGCAGCAGGCCTTTGGCCATGGGATCTGTTAGGGCAGAGGTGCTAAGACTCCACCCTGGGTCTAGGAGGACTGGAGCCTGGGCAGTTGCCCTCCCTGGGCACCAGGCTGGCTGCTTACCCAGGTCACCCTGGCAAGGAGGCCCCTAGACTCAGCTCACCTCACTGGGCTACTGGGGGGGACTTCCTGTTCTGCTCCCAGTCTCCAGCTCTGCAGGGGTGGGGTGGTGGTCCAGGAGAAGCGGTAGCTGGTGTTTTCAAGAGTGGTACCATCTCCGGGGTTCGAGGGAGGGGCAGGGATGGCAGGGCCCACCAGCATTGCCTTGGGGTAAGCCTGGCATCCATGCAGGTGGTCCCTGCCTAGCCTACACCCCTCATCCTGGGAAGGCTTCGCCCAGGCCCTTCCCTACTTCTTCCAATCCTTCCCGGCCTCCAGGACCCCTTACCAGACCTTCCCAGGGCATCTGCGCCTTGCCTTGGTGGCTGTCTCCTGCTCTGACGAGAGGAGCAGGAAGCCAAGGGAGCGAGGCTGGGCACTGTCTGCCCTGGACATGTGCTGGGAAGTGATAGCTGCCCCAGGGCAGGCAGTGAGCTGGCAGGGCCTGGCGGGCTGGGCACTGGGCACCTCCTGGAAGTTCTGCTAGGAAGGCCCCAGCCCCACAGCTGGCTTCATACTCATCGGGCACCCAGAGCAGTCAGCCTGCCAGGCTGAAGCTGGGGTTCGGGATGTCTCCCCGTGTTCCGTGTGACCAGCTGCCATCCGGTCACACTGACCTCTGCTGACCCTGAGTGTCCTGGTGTCCAGAGGCAGGGTGGCTGCGGCCCTGCTTAGAGCAGGGCTGGGCTGGGAGGGATGGCGCCTATGTCCCTCCTCTGGGTGAATCTCCTTCTTTCTCCATCTCTGTCTCTAACTCACACACACTGTGTAAGAACTCTTGGCTTTCAAAGTAGCACTTGCACTATCACTGTTCGGTGAAGGGGCAGCGTTCCCCTTCCTGGGGTGGAGGTCAGAGGTCAGGGGTGGCTCATGGGAGGCCAGGCACTTTGGCTGGAGCCAGCAAGGCCAGGAAACTGGAGCCCCTGCTTGAGACCCCTCAACACAGTGCCTGTGGAAACAGCCCAGCAGCCAGGCTGCTGGCCCTATAGCCCTGGACTGGCAGTGGAGCTGGACAGGAGCTGAGCCAGGTCAGTGTTCTCCCGGGCTGGCAGCCCCTCAGTTCCAGGAGGCCGCTGAACCAGAGGGGCCCTGCTGTGTCTCCAAGGGCCTGGGCCCTGCACAGCAGGGTGGGCAGGGAGAGGCAGCGGGCACCTGGGAAGCAGGAGGCTGGCAGCTTGTTTAGAAGCCAGCCTGCCCGGGGCACCCAGGCCCTGTGCACGCAGCAGTCTCCCAACTAAATGCCACGGGTTTGGGTACTGAAACTGCATGAGCATTGCGCGGGGGAGGGGGTTGGGGGATGACAGCACGAAGGGCGCCTGGGCAGGGGGAGCGGCAGCTGCTGCCATTCCCAGAAATTCTTCCTTCCTAAATTGAAAGATCATTTTGGGTTTTGTTTTTTTTTACAGAATTGTGATTCCATCCTGAAACAGAAAAAGAGCTCCAGAGTGGGCTGCTGCGTCTGAGGGGTGGAGCTCTGGCAGGCAGGCGTGGTGGTCAGGCTGTGCATGGCCCCCTTCCACATAGGCCCCCAGTAGCCTGTGACCCCCGGCCAGGCTCTGAGGTGCCCTCGGCACCAGCCAGGGGCTGAGGAAGGCAGAGCGTGGGGCCTGCCCTCCTCTTGAGGGGACAGGTGGTGCTCGACTGTCCATGCCCAGGAGCGGCATGGGCACCGCTCTAGGCCAGGCTGCCGTGCCAGCTGGGGTGACAGGAGGGGTGAAGGGAGCAGGTGTGGGACTCACAGGGTCCAGCCCACCCTCCTTGGCAGAGGGGACAATTGCTAGGGATGCAGATGGCACTTGCCAGAGACCTGCCTGCCAGGTACCAGCCTTGGATACCCCTTCCTGGGGCTGATGCGGGTGGTGGGGAGCAGTGACCACTTGGCAAAGCTCGGGAGAGGATTCAGCATGCCCGACACTGGGGCAGGCAGGGCGACACTCCCCATGTGGGCATGTGTGCCCGCTGGGCTCGGCCAACCTGGGGGCTGGAGGTGCCCAGGAGGTGGGAGCTCTGGTCATCTCCCCTGTGGCCAAGTGGCAGCTGCCCAGGCACCCTCAGCAGCCAGGGCCTGGCCACCCCATCCCCTCCTGGGTGGTCACCCCTGCCCTAGCCAAACCTGGCAGAGGATTCCACTGCAGACCTTCCTGGGCCTGGCAGTAGTGTGCATGGTACCAATGTAGAGGCCTGGCTATGGGGCAGAGCACCCCACTCTTGGTGCTGGCCACCCCCACGTGCACACGGGTGATCAGAGCTGCTATTGCGCATTTTATTGGAGCCAGAGGCTGGGGACTCATGTGGCCCCCACCCTGTGCCCAAGCTACTAGGAACGTGGGGGGCAAGGTCAGGGAAGGCAGCATGGACTTCCTGGTGGAGGTCACTCTGTGGGCTCTGGTGCCTCCAGCGTATCAGCGGGACTCACCCCAGGCTCTGTCCTGGACCCTCCTCCAGGGACAGGGGTGGGGGCTGCTCCTCTGGCAGGATGTGCAGGTGTTTGAAGGCAGTGGGCAGTGTTCGGCCCAGGAATGGAGCTGTGGTCACATCTTGGATCAGGATCACATACTCCCCTGTGAGGTACGGGCAGTGCTGGTCCTTGGGCTCCAGGGACCATAGCTCCCCATGGCCTCTCAGACTGGGCGTATACCCTGCTGTCACTTGCCCAGGACCTGCTGGCACCTTCCTGGGGTCCCAGGCTCCTGACAGTGACCCCAGGATCACCCCACCATCCCCAGGCTGCCGGGTGCTCGGTCAGTGAACATGAAGGATGAGCTGGGGTGGAGTGACCGCCTCTGCAGACCCAGCTGCCCTGGAGCCTGAGTCGGGCTGAGGCAGTGGAGGGGCCTGGGTGCCCACTCCACGTCCACTGAGCACGACGCCAAGGGACTCTTGGAAATAAGCTCCTAGGTCTTAGGAGAAAAACAGTTTGCTTCCTCCAAGCTGTGGGAAGTGTGTTAGAGCCCTGCATACCCTACCCACCGGGCCAAGGCTCTGGTGGGAGCTGAGGGTGGCCCTGCAGGGGGCCAGAGAGGAGGAAAAGTACTTTTCCTTTCTGCAGTCTGTAAACTGTCTGGAGAGCTTCAAAGTTGGAGAAACCATAAAAAAGAAAATAAGAAATAACAAAAAGGGAGGTTGCCATAGATACGGTCCTCTCCCCTCCCCTGAGCCCAGCAGGGCTGGCACTGGATCGGGGAAAAAGCTCCCCGGCTGGCCCTGGTTCACACCAGGAATGCAGCCACAGCTGAGCTGGGGGCAGGAGTCGCCCGCACTGTGGAGCAGGGCAGATCGACATTCCAGATGCCAGGCTGGAAAACGGGTGGTCACCGTCCACCTCGCTGGCCGGGGCTGCGGGCGCCTGAGGATTCCCGGGAAGGATGAGAGCGGCCTTGGGGACCCAGAGGAATCTGCCGGCCTTCCTCAGCCCCTCCGCACACCCTGGTTCTGGGCGGCCTGTGGGCCAGGGCCGGGGACCCGGGAGGGGATGTGCATTGTGCAGCTGGAGGTGGCACTGGGCCAACCTCCCTGGCGGCTGGCGGGGAAGCCGCATGTAGCGACGCTGTGGCGCTCTCAAGCAGTCGTCTCCAGGCGTTGCCGAGAACACTGCTCTGCCGGGCCAAGGGCAGCAGGCCAGGGGGCAGCGCACACAGCCAGGCCCAGGCCTGAGCTGACCCCGTGCTCAGGCCGGCGCTGTGGACGGAAAGGCTGCGGGAGGCCTGGCTCTGGGGCTTTGGCTGGCACTGGCTCTGGGGCTGGGCCGTCCCTGGCTTCACTCTGGCCTGCAGTCTGAATCTCTGTCCCAGTCCTGGAAAGTGGCCTCTCTGGGATGGGGACCCGCAGGAAGAGGTGCTGGGACCCGGCAGATTCGCTGCCTCAACAGGTGGGTGGAGCCCAGAGCCAGGGCTCATCTTCCACCTGCCCCTCCTGGGAGCCAGGCTGTGGGCACAGTGAGGATAGACCCCACCCTGGAACCTTTCTGGTGTGGTTGGCCAGTGGGGCTGTGTGCCCAGGATGGGGCAGTTACCCCGTGGTGTCTGCACTGGAGGGGGTCCCTTCTGATCTGACTTCAGGGCCCAGCCAGTGCTCCTGGGATTGGAGTGGATCTTGGGGCTGCTGGGGACCCCATGGGGGTGAGCCAGGACATGGAGTCCCCACAATAAGGGCCATTTCTGTCGGGTGAGGGCAGAGCCACCTTCTCCGCTGGATATGCCTGGGGCCAGATGCCTACGCCCTCCTGATGGATGGAAGCTGGGGCTGGTAACGCAGCAGGCTCTCGGTGCCCATGCCAGGCTGAGGGAGGCAGTGTCTGCCCCATGTCTGCCAGCCCTGTGCCCACCTGCTCTGGGACTGAGGAGACGCCTGGCTCCCAGCATCTCAGCATCCCCAACTACCGCATCCTCAACTCGTGTGATCAGGTCTGCCCTGGCGCCTCCCCCAGCCTCTCCCTGCCCCAGTCTGGGCTCTGGAGGAGTTGGTACTGCCCTCTGACCTTAGCCCGCATGTACCCTCCCCGCAGTCCCCACCACCTGAGCCTGGGCAGTGGTGATGGCCGTGCTCTGCACAGCTCTGCCTACCTGGGTACACCGCTGCCACTGGCTTCGCTGCAGTCCCATCAGGCCTGTAGGGAGAAGGGATCCCCTGAGTCCTGCACCCCTGAGCAGGGAAGCAGCTCAGGCTCAGCGGGTTCTGAGGCTGCCCAGGAGCTCGCATGCTCACACTGAGCTGCTTCTGCACCAGAGACCCCCCAAGTCCTGGCTCTCTACCCTCTAGGCCTCAAGAAGCCTGGACCTGGGGCAGGTTGTGGCAAGCCACCCTGAGCCCCAGGCTGATGCTGCTCCTCAGGGAGCTCGCATGCTCACACTGAGCTGCTTCTGCACCAGAGACCCCCAAGTCCTGGCTCTCTACCCTCTAGGCCTCGAGAAGCCTGGACCTGGGGCAGGTTGTGGCAAGCCACCCTGAGCCCCAGGCTGATGCTGCTCCTCAGAACCAGTGCCAGGGCCCAGCTGAGGCCAGGTGGGGCTGTGTGGCACTGATGTCCCCTCGAGGAACAAAGGCTGGTGTCACCTGGGATTCTCTGGGTTGAGCGGAGAGGAAGGGAGGCCCTAGCTCGGGCCTCACCATCTGAGGGGTAGAGACCCACCCCAGTTACAGCTGCCTGCCTCTGAGTGCAGGTTCCCTGAGAGGGTCCCAGCCCCCACTCTGGTCTGCTCTGTGGTGGGGACAGTGGCCTTGCCTGTCCTGGCAGCACCTAGGAGGAGCAGTGCCTGTGGCCAGGTCACTACAAGGGACGTGGGGAGTGGAGCCCTGGCCCACATCCGTTTGCCTGCCCAACAGAGCCCTACGGTCCCTGCCATAGGGCCTGGAGACTGGCTGCTTCTGACCCCTCTGTGAACTTAAATACCACAGTGCAACATGGGTGATAAAAAATTAAAGACAAAAGACTTCAAAATGACTTCTTTTTGAGTGGAGAAAAATGAGCCTGGGCTGGGCCCCAGGAGCCATGTTAAAAACCGTGAAGCGCGGAGAAGGAGGGAAGGGAGATAAATAATTTAGCACTGAGAATAACTAGAGGCTGCCAGCTTTAAGTGAAATAAAAGAGGTTACAAGAATCCTGAGTTCCTAAAGCACCCCCAGGGCTTTGAGGGTGCAGAGCAGAGCCAGGCAGGTGGGAACCCTGAGGAGACGCCAACTAACAGAGCAGACTAACGGGTGCTGGTGCCCATGGCATGCGGTCATCCAGAGGCCAGGACCCTGCCCTGCAATGTGGGGGACACCGCAGGCAGAGACTGGGCACCAGCTGTGTGCAGGGATCTCTTGAGGACTCCCTGAGCAGAGGCCATGTGGAGCCTGGGTGAACTCCAGGTGCCCGAGAGCCCCTCTTCCTCCTTCTGATGTGCTCTCGAGGCTCATGGACTTTGAGTCTGTGAGGCTTTTTGTTTTTTTCCATTAAATTTGAAAATATTTTGTTCTAATTAAGAAGCTTGGCTATTTGAAATCTTTTCTCTTTTCCCTCCCCAGTCTCCAGCTACATCTGGGTTCGGTGGCTCATGGCCCACTTGTCCTGTCTGTCCTGTCTCCCTGGGGCTCCTGCTAGACTTTCCGTGGCCATGTTCCCTTCTGTGAGGTCCAAGCCACGTCCCACCTGGATGTGTCCTTTTCACTACTAACTGCTGGTGTTCCTGGGTTGGTCCTGATGGGCTGTTTTCTTTCATCCTCCCCTAGCTGGGTGATCTCCAGTCAGATGCCAGATGTATAGTGAACTTCACCTTGTTGGGTGCTGGGTATTTTTGGACTCCTGTAAATATTCTTGCTGCTGTTGTTACTGGAGAGAACATAAACCTTCTGGGCCTCGCTTTCAAGCTTTGCCAAGTGGGGTCCAGGTGGGGGTGAATAACCGGCCCCCAGATGTGACCCTGTGCCGTCTGTGGCTTGGCTCTCCAGGCCGTGAGTGCCTGGCCACAACGCCCTCACCTCTCCACTGACCTCTCTGGCTCTGTGGCCTGCTCTCTCACACATCATTCTGGCAGCTGCTGGGCTCAGGGCTCCCTCTGCTCGGTGCCCCCCAGCTCCCAGACCTGTTCCTTGGCTTCAGGGGACCTGAGCTCACGCTGGACCCCTCAGCCCCGCAGCCTATACCCTTTGCGTGGGGCTCGCCTGATGTCCCCATCCCACCCGTCCTTCCTTGCCCAATGTCCGAGCACCCCATCTCCTGTATCGCTCCCTGCTTTCCACCTATTTTCAGGAAGTTGCATCTGGTCCCACAAACTCCACCTCAGGGACAACTCAGCAGCAGTCTGAGTTCAGAGGTCCAGCCATAGTGTGGGCTTTGGCTTCTCACTGGGAGGCCAGGAATGGGCACCCAGCCAGACTGGGTCTAAGGGGCCACCCTGGAGACCTGTGGCTCTCCACACAGGCCACTGCACCCACACTCTCCAGGATGGTAGTGCCAGGTCAGGGCAGCTAGGCCCAAGGAGGCTGTGCCCTCATCACTGGTCCCTGTGGTATCCACTGAGGCAGGGACACTGCTGGGCGCCCCCAGGACATGGCCTCATCTCTCCTTTCTCTAGGACAACATAGATTCCATGGGACACAGAGGCTGTGGGCAGGGCACCCCAGGCAGGACCGGGCATGGGGCTCCTCCCTGACAGAGTGCACCTCATGCTTCTTGATGGGGGAAGTGGCTTCTGTGGGGACCCTGCCCTCCTGCATTGAGGCCCATTGCCCCTGTCCTTGGTCCCCACCCTCAGGACAGTGCAGGGCAGTGACAGAAAGGGACGGGCAACCCAGAACTCTTTCCTTAAGATCCAGAGAAGGCACATGCTTGGGTGAAGCTGGGGTGGACAGACAGCAGGGTTCTGCAGGCTCCCCACCCCGTCTCAGCTCCTCTGCCGGCCAGGGTGCTCGGCTGGCTCTGGGCAGCACGGCGGCCCCACCCCACAGCGGGCACCATGTTCTTCCTGTCCAGAGGCCCACGTGGTGCTCGTGCTGGAGCCATGCTGTGTGTCATTCCTAAGAGCAGTGCCCGCTTGTGAAATGATAGCCACTTCACAAGCCACAGAAGCCGGGACAGGATCGGGTGAGGCTCCTTCCCAGGCAGAATGCCCACTCTGGGGACCTGGGTGACCGGCCTGTCCTTGTGAGTGGGGCCACAGTGACGAAACTCATGGGCCAGGCAGCTTCAGTGACCAGAGCCTGTGTCCCGGAGCCCAGAAGGCCCCTGGGCTGTAGGGGTCAAGGCCTGGAGCAGGGGTCAGAGGATACTGGGATGGGGCATACGGGTGCTACAGGTTCCTGGAGGGTCCCGAGTGCCCTATACTGTTCCGGCTTAGGGAGCAGGAGCAGCAGAGACACAAGCTGGAGGACAGTCGCCAGGGGCTCCCAGCACTGAGGAGCTGTCCAGCCTCTCCTAGCTTGGGGAGGACCTGGGCTGAGGCTGGTTCCCACGCATACAGGGGTCCTTGTCCAAGGGTTAGCATTGGGCGTGGCTGTCCTTGGGCACTGGGCAATGCATGGCAGCAGGCAGCCATCCTGGGTCTCTCCGTCTGGGGCAGAGGGGCCCCCAGTGGGCACAGAGGGTTAAGACTGCCCTCCCCACACTCCTATCTGCTCTGGGCCACTACTCAGTGCCAAGGCAGGCCCAGGAGGCAGTCGCAGTGCAGGGGTTAGGGCGCTGGCAGTGTGGGCACATCCACGGCCAGCTGCTCGGCTTGTTTCCTGCCTGGACAGGATGGGGCTGTGGAGTGGGAGGTGGCCTGGGGCCAGCAGAAGACTGCAGGGCTGCCAGTTTCCAGTCTGCCGCTTTCTGTGAGGCTGCCTGAGTCACACCCAGGGTCCACGCCCCAGTGGCATCAGCAGGCCTCTTTGGGGGCTGGGGTTCCTGCTTGTCGCAAGGCTTTGGTGCCACCAGGCTGGTGGAAGACAAGCTTCCTGGCCAGAGCTTGTCCATAGAGGAGCCCTCCTGGCTGTTCCTGTGCAGTGGCACCCAAGTGGCAGGCCAGGCTCAGTGTGGCTGGGAGGCCAGGTGTGGGCACCTCCCTTCCTTAGGGACAGCTACCATGCTGGGCGCACATGGTCACCATGGCTGGTGCAGAGGGGCTGCCCAGGGTCAACTGTCTTTTCAAGTAAAAATAAATAAATAAACTGATACCATCTGTGTTGGCCCAGTGACAGAGTAAGTGACTAATCATGGAAAACTTAATTAGGTGCATTTTCCTCCATAGTCGGAGGAGGGGCTCTGATGGCCCCCCTGAGAGCCACCAGGAGCCACTGCTCACGCAGCGGGCACTGTCCCCAGCATGCTTTCTGCTGCATTTATTTCTCCCTCGGTTAAGGTTTCTGCCGGAGCAGACTGTTCTGTGGATGTTCGTCAGGGGCTGGACAAGTTCACGGCCACAGGCACAAATTCAAGCCCTTCCACTGCAGCTGACAGGGTTTCACAGTGCTGGGACCAACAGGCCCAGGTCCGCTGCGAGATTCCGTAATGCGCCTGGAATGTCTCCGCAGGAATGTGGCAGGAGGCCTCAGCTCCAGCCCCAGGAAGCAGGCGAGGGCCGGCTGGGGCCACCTTGGCAGCTTCGAGCCGCTGCACACAGTCTCAGTGGCCACCTCGCCATGCTCCGGGTCCCCCTTGTGGACATGCAACACCCCACAGCCATCTGTCCCTGTCCTGTGCTTCTTGATGTGGTCTAGAGGCTGCTGACCTCGTCAGAGGCAGAGGTGGCAGCAGGAGCTGGCCCGGGGTCCCTGGTAATTAGGACCAGTGTGGCCCTGCACCTAGTTGTCCACACTGGGCCTTCACTTGCTACTGCCTTTCTCTTGGTGCTGGGATTGAACCCAGGGCCTTCACACAGAGCTCCATCCCCAGGGTCTCAGTAAGTTGCTGCTTGGGCCAGGGATGTAGCTCAGTGGTGCTGTACCTGCCTGGCAAGTACAAGATCCTGAGTTTGATCCCTGATACTTCAAACAAAACAAAACAAAAAATAAGTTGCTGCTAAGTTGCCCAGGATGGGCTTGAACCTGTGATCCTCCTGCCTAAGCCTCCCAGCATGCCAGTGCTACCAGGCTAGGCTCTAGCTCCCCACTTTTGGGCCACCTATGCATGGGTGATCAGGCCCTGGGGGCTTACACGACCCTGGGGTGAGCAGCCAGGGTCTGCTGGAGAGGCAGAGCTGGGGGCTGGAACCAGGCTCTGTGCCCAGGAGGCTGAGGCCAAATCAAGACGGTGGGCCAGGGATTTAGCTCAGTGGTTCTGCCACCTGCCTTGCAAGCACAAGGACCCGAGTTTG